AGCCTGTTCCCACCCCCCCCCCCCGCCCCAGTCATCAGCACACAGCCCCTCTTCCTTCTGGGTCTAGAGTCCCCAGCCGTTCCATCACTCCATGTCTTCATCTCTGCCACCATCTCTGGCATCACTGCTTCTTTGAGTAGGGTCCCGCTCTCCGGTCTTCTCCCTTGATGGTCCCAGGGACCTCCGCTCCTAGACTGCAAAGTCAATCATTCCCCACCTTTTGCTACAAAATGTCTACCTTTACATTTCCCACCCTCACAGTCAGTCCTGATAACAATTGTTCACTATTGTACCACATGAGACCTAGCCCAATCTCCTTTCATCAACCCCACCCAGAAGATTGGATACTACTCAGTGAAGATTCTATCTTCCTCCGTGCCTTCTGGATCTAGGCACCTTCTTGAAAGCTTGTAAGCCAGTCACTTCTTGCCTTTATAGTGCCCGCCCCCCGCATTTTGGGTAGCCAATATCCAAGTTGCCCATCCCTGTCTACTCCATGTATGGAGGAGGGTGGGAATGATTCTCGCTGTAAACATTTGTTCTCTCTTTTGAGCTACTGCATTCATAGGTGTAGGTCAAGTTCATCATATTGTCTCAGATTACTCTTTATTCCCTCTTCTTTCTTCTTCTAGTTGATCTCCGATCATCCAGTCATTGAAGCCAGGTCAAGTAGGTATTATCTGCAAGTGTGGGTGTTCTTATGCATATGCCCTCTCTTCCTATTAGCTAGATGCTTCACTCTCACACTCTAGTCCTTTGTGGCCCAAGATTCCCTAGGTCTTGCCACACTGCTGGCCAACCAGGTCTCCACCTGGGTTCACAGGAGTCTGTTGAACATTGTAGGGTTCGCAGCTTCATTGCTGTTTTTCCCTCATTTCTCTTTATCGGTGATGAACGTGGTCACCAATCAGAGTGCATATCTGCTCCTATATTCCCATTGAGTCTTAGTCTTGGAAGGGGGTTTGCCCTGAGGGGACCTGGCCACTTGCCTTGATGTCTCCTGGGCAAGCAACTTGCTTGTTCTTGTAGTAATGAGTTGGACTGCTGTTATTTTTTTGTATTTTTCCTGTCGGTCTTTCTTTCAAGAAATATCTTCTGTTCTTCTAGCGGCTCCAGGCTGGTCTGCTTGTTCTTTCAAGTGTAAATTTCCCACCTCAGAAAATTCTGGATGCGGTTCAGGATTCTACCTATGGTCTTATGTAATGCAGAGTTCTGTAGGAAGACTCCTTCACTGGGCACGTTGTAGCCCCAATTTAGGTTTTCCAATCAGTTATAGGTAGAAGACAGACTTACAAG